ACCTAAAGAATAATCTCATTTTGCTTAACACAGCAACCTCAACAAATCGTCTAGAAAATCTGAATACTTTTCTGCTGTCTACAGATGAAACATTTTATTCAGCACTTTCAAATGCATCAACTCCTGAATATTTGCATCGAACCCGAGTAGTTCTAAAATAGAACTCGGTAAAAGTGTCAACGAAACTTGAAAGAACTTCTTCAAAAATCGAAATTTCTAGAAGCAGTTGAATTCCATATATCAAAATTTGTGAAGGAAATATAAAAGATAAACTAAAAAATTTCTTTATTAATGAAAAGCGCATAGGCAAACCATGCTCGAGAAGACGATAAGCTCTAAATTCTAAGACCTTTTCTTGCTAGGCCATATTTCATGTTTTCAGGTCTTCAAAACATAGAGAGATTTCAGAGAATTGTACACATATGTTTTTGTGGGATCTCAAAGTTGCAAAATTGCACACAAAAAGATTCCGCTTGAAGTGAAGGTCTGGCAGCAATTAAAAAGTTGTTAAATGAGAAAATGGCGCTATAGCATAGCAGAACGTAATGAGAAAAACTTCGGGGACGGTTCTTCTAACGAAATGGACAATGTTGCAGTAAATGCCATTTCTAATTTGCACTTATTAGCGAATGACTACAAAATCAGTAGATAATCAGAACTTTTTTCATTCCTTGAAACGATTTCTCATGTGATATAAATCTTCAGCTCAGCGTTAACCCTGAAAGACCACAATGATAATATCCCAGAGTTTTCTAACCTAACTTTTCGTAAATTTTGTTTTGGAAAGTATGTTTGTGCGCAGGAAAAGCAGAGTTTTACATACACATGGTATAAATGCACATAAAACCCTAAATATAAGTTTTATAATGTGATATTACAATACTGATTTTCCCCAAATGGTGTATTTGCAGAAGTGCACCAGGAAATAATTATTTTGTGAAGAAGGTAAGAGCAAAATCTTGGTCTTTTCCACAAATTAACCAATTCCTTCTACGATATCATTAGAAAAAACTAATATATCCTCTCTGACCCTTACCTATGTTCTTACACCGGTAATAGCAGAGTGATAACTACAACTAAAAGGTTTCATGAATCCTTCTGGATACTCAAAGTTTCTTGAGAATGGTCTTAATAAAAGGCAATTTATGCAATCGCTTTTCAGAACCAACTTTGAGAGCAACTGCAAGGATTCAAGAATATGTGAAAAATAATAGAGGAAGCTTTGAAAACTAG